AGACAGAGGCATTTATAGATAAATGGATACAATTTGAGAACATGTTAAATGAAATAGTCATACACACATGGTTTCTCTTATATGAGAGAAAAATGTATGTAAGTATAAGTAAATACAAATAAAGAAGAAATTCAGATGCTTCCCCAAATTACATATTCTTTTAAAAAATATTTCAATATATATGCTAATTTGTTTCATTTATACTAATAGTTTATCTTAGTTTGCTGAAAAGCTACCAATTTTTTGTAAGGATCTGTTTGATTTATTTTTTGTGTGGAGCAATCACCTTAAAGATAATGACAGTGCAATAACAATTGTTATTCACTTATTTGGTTATGAAAATTGTTTTTTCATAAAAAGTAAACATTGATTGTAAAGTAAAAAAAGATTATTAATTTGAGTTAAGTGCTTCCTATCCCTCTATCCCTTCCTTCCTTCTTTCCCACTTCGTTCCTACCTTGGTACCAGGAATCTATCTCAGGAGCTTGCACTTGCTAGGCAGGCTCTTTGCTCTTTTATATTTCCAACCCTGTTAAAGCTTTCTTTTCTGCAAGTCTCACCAATACTTTTGTGTTCATTTATCTTAATCTCATTTTTAAAGCAAAATATTTGGGTCGGCCAAATAGCTCAGTGTGATTAAAGCTTCTGCTTGGGCAGACACAGGGATTGGGGATCAAGTGCCATGTTGGCCCCACCGCCAAGGCGCGCTGAGACCGTGATCGAGACTGGGTGTGGTGCTGCATGCCTGTAATCCCAGCACTTGGAAGGCTGAAAACAAGAGGATCACTACAAGTCCAATCTGTGTAGTGAGACCCTGTAGACCATGTACATTAAAAAACAAAGTAAGGTACAGAAAAACATAGAGAGTTACTTTAAATTTCACAACCCATTGACACTTTCAAAAGCAGTGTTCTGCTGTTACTAAGGCAGTATAGATCAGGGTTTTGCAGTTAGGTAATTACAAAATTGTAGGGCTGGGGAGATAGCTCAGTAGAATAAGCACTTGTCTGGCAAGTGCAACAGCCTGAGTTCAGTCCCCAGTTCCGGGGGTGGGGGGGAGGAAGGAAGGTAGCACCACCCCACTTCATTTTTGACTTGGTTTTGTCATGGGAAGTATTTTTTTTTTTGTCAGAAAAGGTGTAAAGATGATGAAGTCCTGATAACTCTTATCATGTTTGACCCCAGTGTATTTGTGGTCATATACTTCCTTAACACATTGGTAAATATATACCAAAGCATATATGGTGTGGTAAGAAACACTGTTGTACCATTTATGGGAAGGAAATATGTGTATATAGATGTAGTGAGTGGGCAATTGTATTACTTTTTTGGAAGTTCTAATGGATTGGAAGATATATGGAAGCCTCATTACTGCTTGCAGGTAGGAAGTGCATTGTTTGATGATAAATTGCAAATTTTAAAGTCTTTGTAAGAGCCGGTGGTATAGCTCAATGGACTAAGCACTTGCTCAGGTAAGCTGAGGGGCCAGGGTTCGATCCCTGGTTCTGCATGCCGCGCTGGCCCCATCCCCAGGCACGCTGAGCCGGTGATGGAGTTTGGGCATAGTGGCATGTACCTGTAATCCCAGCACTAGGGAGGCAAAAATCAGGAGGATCACTACGAGTTTGAGCTGTGTACATGCACACACGGTCATCCTATTCATATACCTTGGTATATAAATCAGATTCAGCTACAGTAATTAACATTGCAGTAGTTATTTTTATTTTGAATATAAGGTCTTTATTATCTGAGAAAAGTTAGTGAAGTTAAAGTCAATTTTTTTTTTTACTAGTTTCAAATTGTACATATGGCATATACAGAGTGGAGAATGAGTTTTCTTCAGCCGTTGTATCATATAGGCATAACGGGTAATGATGGCTAGCAGGTAGCAGGTGTCTTATTTGACCACTTCCAGTCTGAAGGAAAGGGATATAGTTAGTACATAAAGCTAGAAGGAAAGGGTATGGTGTAAATCAACAGTACTTCTGCTAATTTTTGTTTGCTACTTTAAGAAGTCTGGAATCCTATATAATCTTTTCTCTTTAAAGTTTGCCAGGATTATTTAGTGTACTACATTTAATTAAAAGTACATGTGTAAAAAAAAAAAGTACATGTGTATGATGTGCAGAAATTGGAGAAACATTCATGTAAATAAAACATTGACAGTCTGTAATTATCAAAAGAAAAATTGGATAGTAGTGATTCTCTGTTCTAATGAAGATTTAACTTTTAATTTAAAAGGGCCCTTAGGGCACTTAAGGACTTAGTTTTGCTTTTTGGTTTTTTTATGTGTGAAACATACTGTATAGCTATTATGAAAAATATTTTGTATAAGAATAACTTAAATTATTTAAGTTATTTCTCACTTATTGCCAGCTCAGATATTAATAGACATCTTGGTTGTAAGCTATATTGCCATAATGCATCATGAATTTTAGTGAATCACTCATGATTAAAGTTGGACTGCCTTTTTGTAGTAGATAATTCTTAAAGTTTTGTGTGTTAGTTGTCTATAAGGTTGGTAGTGGAGATGGATCTTGGTAAGTACATATACATGTTGTGTCTTGGTATATAACTTGATACTTTTTCATATGAAGATTTATTAAATGAATTTAGTTGGATTATGAGCCACAGTTGTATACTGAAAATCTAGTAGCTATTTTTTGAATTCTGCCCCTATTCCAATTAATACAATAACCAGTAGATAAATAGGAATGTCATGGCGTATGCATTAAATAGAGGATCAGCAGAAATTGTGCACACTTTTTGTTATATTTCTGAAGCTGCAATTTGACCTTAATGTTTCTGCAGTTTCTAGGCTTAAGATGACACCTAGGTAGAATGATACATGATTTTTTAGAAAACACTGTTTAGATTCAGCAAGCAATTGTATTTAGCTGTTGTATTTACATTTTCTGTGGAGTCAAGTAATACTGCATGAATATACTCTGTAATTGATGACTTGATCTAATAAGTAATTTTAAAAAAATATATATTTAATATTTACTTGTTACTCTAATTTTGGTAGAATTTTAAAACATCTAGGAATAAAATTTTTGTTTCAGTGTTAAAGTGTGATGAATCTCTTACTAGTTATATAATTAATTTATGCTAGATCCCAACAAGTACTTGGTGGTTCAAATGTTAGGAGATAATATGGTGATTGGACGGGTGATGACATTGAAATGTCTGTCATTTGCCCATTAAGTAGATTCCAGGCATACCTCACTTCTCACTATGAAATACAATTCTGCATGTACAAACTTTTTGGTTTGTGTATGATATTTTGTATCTACCTACGTAAGGCAATTCTGTTGTAATTATGTTATGGTGCTACACTTAATCATTTTTAGAGATTTCAAAATCATTTTCTTGTGGCAGAAGGTTCAGGAATAGAGTTTCACTTTTAACTCCATATCATGTAGACCAGTCATTAGTTAAGTAGTTAAACATATGGTCTTTAGCTACTTTGTTATGGTTATTACTAAACATTGTTTTATTTCTTGACTTTTAAAAATTAAGTACACTGTAGAATAAAATCAAAACTAATCAAAAGTAATTCTGCTTATAAAACCTTGAATTTTCTGGTATTTTAATTAAAACTATTTTACACTATTTCAGTAAAATTTAATAAAAATAAAATATTCATGTTTAGATACCATAAATTATGAATTCGTAATATCTTATGGCTTTTAATAAACTAAACAAAATGAACTGAGCAGGAACCTAAAGACTTCCTCAAAGTGGACAGTTTTGCAGAATACGGCACAGTCTAGAAACTGCTGAGAACAAGTCATTTATCTGGTAGAACTGAAGTCCTGTGTTAAAACAAAAAATATTTATTGGTATTTTTCTCCAAATGCCATGGCTTCACCATGTTTCAGAAAAACACATTGTCCTGCTTCTGAGGAAATACAAGGTCATCACAAAAGCAACTATGTTTTCTTTATATACTTGTTTTTATTAACATTGTAGTTATTTTAATTCGTTTGGCTTAGCTATTTATAACTTTATAATGGTAATTACTAACATTTATTGAGCACTCACTATATTCCAGGCCCTGTTCTATATATTTTTAGTATATAAATTAAACCATTAATTGCCATACTTAATTTTCTTGTCAATCACTGTCTTTTTTTACAGATCAGGAGAGTCAAGTAACTACTGTGTTACAAAGAATGGCAAATCATGAGCTTGAACTTAGCCAATCTTACTCTACAGTCTTTTTTTTTTTTTTTTTTTTGCGGAACCAGGGATTGAACTCAGGCCCTTGTGCTTGCCAGGGAAGCACTTATTCCACTGAGTCATCTCCCCGGCCCCATGCTCTACAGTCTTTGCCCTCCATGTTTTGCCGTAATGTCAGCCTGAATTATGTTATTAAGCTTTTCTCCTTGTCAGCTCTGAGTGAATTTCTCCATCTGTGTTAATCCATAGGGTCACAGACCATATAGACTAGTTCTCTATAGAGAACTAGTTTTATTCTTAGCTTAACCTGCTACTTATTTTATGGCATTGAACAGGTTGTTTTTATATCTGTGAGATGAGGCCAGTATACACCTTACAGAATTGTTTTACAGTGATTAAAGAGGATAGTGTATAGAAAGTGTATGGTTAGTTTCTGACACAGGATAAAGTCTTGTGACCTGTACCCGACCACATGTTGGGTTCAGAGCATTTTTCTCCACTGCTGATTATGAGAGACTGTGGTCTTTAGTTTTTTTTTTTTTTTCCTGAGGTAGCTGTCTCTCCATCTCATCAGTTTGCTGCTTGCTCAGAGGGGGTGTGCAAGACCTACTTAGGATGTATTGTTTTCTTTAAAAAAACCTCTTAAAATGTGTATTTTGTTATTTGTAGTTAGAGATAACTGCTAGAGAATTATTCTTTTCTTTGTTCCTTTAGTAAGGTTGAAATCCAGTCATAAAGATAATTTTATGGGGTCTATAAAGCTAACTATAGAGGTTATAAGCCAGTTTTAAAAAATATTTTTCTTTTCCCCCCAGGAAATATGGTGAGCGGCCTCCACCTCCACCTAAACGACTCACTAGGTAAGCATCACATTAGGCTCTAAGCCAGTTTGTATGTGTGTGAGGATCTTGTGCTCTTAGAAATCTTTACCATATGGTACCTACTTTACAGGCTTATTTGTTTTATTCCTTTTTCCTATCTTCTCCTCCAAAAAACAAAAGAAAACAGGAGTATGAAGATATAGTTAAAAAAGAAAGGCTGAAACCTTTTCAAGTGGTAATTTTTATAATATAGTGACTATAACAAGGCCAGCAACATTAAAGATTCCTACATTTAGCTGTGTTGAGCCAGTAACAATTCTTTGATTACAGGGGAGGCTTGAAAAGATTTAATAATGCTCTTTGAAAAGAATTTTAAAGAAAACAAGATTTTTACCTTTTTAAAGGAAATGTAAAATTGTATACATTTTAATGAGAATATAAATTGCTCTGATACAAAATTAGTTCTGTAACACATTTTAGTTATACAGATTAAAGTATTTATTTTAAAAATGATTAAAGTTTAAGTACGGATTGTAAAGTAAGTCCAGTTCCATAATCAAAGTGATAGAGCTACTGCTAAAATCTTGTATGCTACTGTTGTTCTGTACCGTTTAGCCCTACAATGTATATCTTCTACCTTTATAGTTCTCTTCAAAGGCTCATGGTCTTCCATCTTCTTACCATTCCTTGATGATCCCTTAGGTTATTTCCCAATCATTGCTACCATTGAAAGAGCTGTTGCACTTAACCACTTAACAGTTTATCTCATCTGCATCTTGTACAGCAATTAACCACTAAGAAGAATATATGCAGTGTATTATTTGTTGAAACTATACTTTCAATTTGATTTGAAACTGTCTCATTGCTATATGTTTATCAATAAAACTTTGAAAAGAAAAAAAAAAACAAAAACAGTTTATCCCCAGTGTCACTTGGGCACCTTGTTTATGTACTGACAGACCTGAGTGCCACTTAGGCAGGTGTCATTTCGACCACCTGGTCTTTGTATTGATTTTTGTATTTCATAAAATTGTTGTTTTTATACTTTCTGGGTTTTTTAAAATAAAAATTAATGAAAAAAATATGCAAACTGTGGGCATCCTGTATTTAAATAATTGACTGGTAAAAGAATGAGAGAGACTTGTCAGAACACGGGAGACAGTTTGAAGATACTCCTTCACCTTGATCATCAGATGAATCTGAAGTCAGTATTGGCGAGTTGAACATCCTTATTCTAGAAATCTGAAAATCTAAAATACTCCAAAACCCAAAGCATTGAGTACGGACACAGTATTCAAGAAGTTTTAGATTCTTGAAGCATTTTGGATTTTTGGATTTAGGATGTTCAGAACTTATATTGTGTCTAAATATACCAAAAATCTGAAAAACTGTAAGCTTTAGACTGCTTTTAGTGCTAAGCATTTAGGAAAACAGATACACAACCTATAGTGAGATAATTATCTCAGCACAAAGATAATTTATCTCTCCCTCTCCATGAAAATATTATAAAATTATTTATAAAAACAACTCATAAATAGAGGAATGAGTAACTTTTCCTCACAGGAGAATGCTACCTACCAAATGTAGAAGGATTGTGGAATTAAGGAAATCACTATTGGTTGAAATGTAGTAATTATTTCCAGCAAAATCATCAGTAGTTGCTTAAACTTCTGAATTAAAGTTTGTTGAAAACTTAAACATTTATGTAGTCTTGAGGTGACTCCTGACAACCAAAAAAGGGAAAACGGTAACAGTGCACAATCATCAGTGTCATCAGCAGTGACAAATAAATGTCATACGTATCCCAAGGAAGAAACTATTGCTTTTGGAATAAGATGAAAATTAAGGGACACCTATCAAATATTGCATAGTGTTTATTCTTCAAAAATCTCAAGATCATATAAAAGAAAGACCAAGGAATTACTCCAAATCAAAGGAGACCAAAGACGTGAAACAACTATATTTAAGTAAATCTTGAAGTAGGAAAATTTGTTTTCTTTTTTTATGAAGCTTGAGTTGACATATTTTCTGCAGTGACATTAGTCAGACAGTTGACAAAATTTGAGTAAAATATTTAGAATAGATATTATTGTTTTCTAAGTGACAACATCATTGTGATTTGTAAAAGAATATCCTTTTTAAAAGGAAATAAACATTGAAATATTTTGGATAAAGTGGCATGTCCCCAGTGCTCTTTAATGTGTTAAATATAACATACAAATAGGATAAAATATTAAAAATTGAGGGGCCTAGGTAACTAGGAATTCCTAGTTCTACTTCTGCCAGTTTTCTGTGTGACCTTTAAAATTATTTTAAAATTTAAAAACTATTATATAACTATTCTAGATAAAACATATTGGGAAATTACAACTTGTCTCATGGGTTCATGTAAATGTATTTCCATTATTTTTATGTACCTGTTAAATAAATTCTGATCAATAAATTTTCTATATTTAAATAGGCATTTTGAAATTTAAAACTTAAAAGGTAAATAATATTACCACAGTTAAGTTGAAACAGCTTTGAATGATAGTTTTTGGCGACTAAATTACTTCAATGGATACATCTATAAAAGATATATAATAAACTTTGTAATGAAATTTTTCTTTCTTTCCCTAAATACATATAGTAATGTAGTCTCTTTATTGTGATTTTTGTATCATTTACCCTTTAAATGATTTTCCTCTGTTTAGAAAATTTTAGTAGCACTTAGAACTACCACTTCTGGCTAAGATGGAATAATAGGAACTTGAATTATTCTCTAACCTGTAACCGTGAAAAAGCAGAATATTTGAAACAGTAGTTTTGTGATACTGAGCATCAAACAGGGAAGGGCAGTGATTCCCAAGAAAGAAGAAACTAATGAGATGAGCCCTATGATTGCCTTAGCGTTGTGCCTGTTTCCAGGCTGGGATATGGAAAGGGGTTTTCACATGAGACAGGGAATGAATAGAATCCAGGAGAGCTGAGTTCACAAGGATAAGACCTGAAGGGGAAAGAATCCCCAAGACTGCAGAGCTTCTTTTCGTTTTTAGGTGGGTCTTGATCAGCGCATATATGTGAAAAAATTACCCGTTGTGGGAGAATGGGCTCCAGGAGAATTAGAGGAGCCCATCCCTAAAACTCATTTTAGGGCTATGACTGTGCCTGTTTTGAATGGCCAGAGGAAAAAATCTTGTAATTATGGAGTATCATCTAAAGTACTCAGAAGGGTTTTGCTTCATTAAAAAATTAGGCCCAGATCAAATGATGCTCTGTTTTCACATAACAAACATAAAGCACAATTGAAAAGGTCAAACTATGTTAATGTATAACAGAACAAGCTCAAGAATAAAAAAAGTGCAACCCTCAAAACCCCAATATTGGAGTTGAGATTAATCATTAAGAAAATGACCAGATAGTATATTAGATTCTGTGAGCCACATAATCTCTGTGGTATAAGTCAACTCTATGATAGCACAAAAGAAGGCATAGACAATATGTGTATATTGGAATATGATTTTGTGTTTAAAACAAGTGAGGTCCTGCTTATTGGCTGAGCTAGAGAAGAGAATAAATTCAGTAACATTATGGAATAGGCATACTTATAAATTTTAAGAGAGACACAATTCAGATTTGTGGAGATGAGAATAATATTTAAGGTGAAAATACACTTGATGAGTTTAATTTCCGAATGGGCCAAGGAGCAATTAGTGCATTTGAAGACATAGCAATACAAATTATCTAAAATGATGCACACAGGAGAAAAAATATGAGGGAAAAGGAAAGCATTAGTAAGCTGTGGTCTGTCTTCTAAGTGTCCTCATATACATGGGAATGGACTCCTTGAAGGAGACAGTATGATTAAAACAGTATGTGAAGAAATAATGGCTGAAATTTTTCTAAGTTTCATTAAAAACTTTTAATACCACACATCCAAGAAACTCAGTGAATCTCAAGTATAAAACTACATTGGAACACATAATTTGATTAAAACTAGTTCTAAAGAGAAAAATCTTATGAAAAAAAAAAACAGATGAAAGACATATTTTACAAAAGAAAAAAATGAGAACAAACACGATTTTCATCTGAAACTTACTGTGGATAAGAAAATAGAGTATGAGCTTTTAAGTGCTCGAAGTGGGAAAATACCTGCCAACCTCGAATTCTCTACCTAGTAAAGGCTAAAGAATGACTTTAAGGACACATTAAGAACAGAAAGAATTCATTACAAACATCAGTTACAGTGCTGTAAGAAATCCTTTGAGCAGAAGGACTAACATGCTACATAGAAATCTGGCTCTGTATACATTACTAGCATCAAGAAAAAAAGATTACATCAGTGAGATTCTATAGATATGTAAAGGAGAACAAGCAAATATTAAAATTAATATTTTGTCAAGCATTCAAAGCTTTTAAAGAAATGGAAACATTCCCTGAAACTAGCAAATTATCTAAACTTACGTGAAGAAAAGAGTAACCTGAACGTATCTGAAGAAATTGAATTTGTTATTATAAATCTTCTGACAGGAAAGTGTGGGCCCAGGTAGCTTTACTATTGAATTCTACAAAATATGGAAGAAAACAAAACATGCCATGATTATACTTTTCAAGAAGTTGGAGAGCAGCACATATTTCCTAGCACATTGTGAAGACTGTGTTTCCGTTACTAAAAGAAACCAAAGGTATTTTAAGAAAGTAAATATATAAACTAATATCCATTATTGAGCAAACATGCAAAACTATGAATTTTCCAGTGAAATCCAACTATATTTAAGGTCTACTTATCACCTACTGAGATTTATTTTTGAAGAGGAAAACAGTCATTATGATTCATTACAGTAACAGAGAAAAAGAAAAATTATATTGGATAAATGAAATTTTTTTTTAATGCGTTTGATAGAGGGTCTCCTATACAGCTTGGACTTGTAGTGGCCCTCCTGTTTTGAGTCTCACCAGCGCTGGGATTATAGGTGTGTGCCACCATGCCCGGACTCCCCGCATGAGGTGGTGGTGTGGGATCCAGATCCCTGCGCTTGCCTAAGCAAGCACTTAGTCTA